AACGGCTCGTACAATTTCCAAATTACCGAACTGCAATGTTGGTCGTGTGTGCGTAAAAGGCTACCAAACTTGACGTGTGTTTGGTTTATAACCCCGATTCCTTGGTTTTTTGTTCTTGCCGCGTTCGTTTAACCGAGTCGCGGAGGGGTTTGCATTGATCAGTGTGTCCATTGCTTTGATGTTTTATTGACCGGGGGAAATCTATACGTCGCACATGCAGTACAGGCTACTTAATCATCGAGCGGATGCCAGAATGTTATATTAATTCTGCCCTTGATGCTGTGATATAATGTGCTTTTTTGATTATTGAGAATTAAAACAAATGTTAAGTGTAAATCAAGCTATATTAAATGTTATTTGGCCACCTTGCGAATCTTGTGAGGGTTTTTTTTTCCATTTTTTTTGTAATGATATGACCTGTGCGCACATGTATGTATGTTTAACTTCTTTCGCAGCACCGAACATAGCAAATCGCGCTTATCAGAGGCGCCGGGCACGTGCTAACATTCTGCCGACCTTCGAGAAACTGGAACTTCGGCGATGCGGGTCACAAGATCCCGTTCGCTTGTTTTTATATTTTTTTTTTCCACAAAGGGTTAATTGCCCAAAACACATGTCAGGTGACTTGGCCATTATGAGCGGCGGTGTTGATAATGACGCCGATAATTTGCGATCGTTTGCCGATGAGTGCGAGCCGCGAGGCCCTCTCCTCGCGTGGCCCCGCGCGGTGTGGCGGGTGAATGTTTTCGTTCGCCGGTCCACACGGGTGGCGAATGAGAGGTCACGCAATGTCAGGAAGCCGTTTGATTCGGGATGGAGGAGGAGGGGGGGGCAGCCCACATGCAGCCGATGTATAACTTTCGACGCGGCGTGAGGGAAGGGTGGTGGACTGATGGCTATCAGTCAGCTGCCCTGCGTACTCGTGGGGCGTGATAGCGTCTTCACGTCCAAGTGAAGGCTTGTCAAAGCGCCGTCAGGGATGATGGGGTGAAAGTATGGAAACATTGAGAGTTCTGGAGCAAACAAGGCCACTTAGGCCATCAAAACAGACCACCAGACCTGGTTGCTGTTCACATCCAGGTCATTGTAGCGTACATGCACCGTCTTCTGTTAAGTCTTATACAGGGTGCTTAAAAATGTTTTTAACACTCCTGAGAATTTGCAACAACACCACAAGAAATGTGCTGCTGCCTCCGGGCTCTGGAGACCACCTGGAGAAGATTCCAGGCGTTTGTTGACAATGATGGCGAACAAGTGGAGACTGACTTTTTGAAGCTAATAACATACATTCGTTATCATGTTCCTTTTTCTATTAAAACGATCGTCCCATATAAGTGTTAACATTTTTCAACGCACCCTGTATATATTGGCTTGCGTTAAAATCACGGAACGTGGTGTTGGTTAGAGCATGTGCGACATTAACGTGGACTTCTCAAACTGCAATTAATTAAAGCCTTGGCCATGCCCTTTTTACCCAGGAAAGAAAAAGCTCACAGAGGCTGATGACTCTTTTTGTATCAGGAGGGGCCCCTGCATTGTGATGCCGGGTCAAATTATCATCGACACCTTGGAGGAAACAACTACCCCGAGAAAACACATGCGTATGCGGAGATAACACTCAGAGACTCAGCACAGATAGATTGGAGAATGTGTTGCTGTAGTGCCATCTCCTGGCACCTTACAGGCCAAGCCTCACGGCCCATCGAACATCCCCAGGCATGCAAGTCCGAGCAAGGATCAAGTCTGCTTAGCTACTGACATTGTACGAGATCGGGTGGATGGATCCAGGATGATTTGATTGTGTGGACTAAGCATGCTATACATTCAAAAGTTAAGGAGCTTATGGCACATTGCACACATCTGTACACCGAGAGTGCTTGGATTGCCCGCTTGGGCGGGCACTGTCAGAGAACGTTGATGCAGAGGGTATATTACAGAGGGAAAAAAGTATGTGATCCCCTGCTGATTATGTACGTTTGCCCACTGACAAAGAAATGATCAGTCTATAATTTTAATGGTAGGTTTATTTGAACAGTGAGAGACAGAATAACAACAAAAATCCAGAAAAACGCATGTCAAAAATGTTATAAATTGATTTGCATTTTAATTAGGGAAATAAGTATTTGACCCCCTCAATAAGAAAGATTTCTGGCTCCCATGTGTCTTTTATACAGGTAACGAGCTGAGATTATGAGCACACTCTTTAAGGGAGTGCTCCTAATCTCAGCTTGTTACCTGTATAAAAGACACCTGTCCACAGAAGCAATCAGATTCCAAACTCTCCACCATGGCCAAGACCAAAGAGCTCTGCAAGGATGTCAGGGACAAGATTGTAGAACTACACAAGGCTGGAATGGGCTACAAGACCATTGCCAAGCAGTTTGGTGAGAAGGTGACAACAGTTGGTGCGATTATTCGCAAATTGAAGAAACACAAAAGAACTGTCAATCTCCCTCGGCCTGGGGCTCCATGCAAGATCTCACCTCGTGGAGTTGCAATGATCATGAGAACGGTGAGGAATCAGCCCAGAACTACACGGGAGGATCTTGCCAATGATCTCAAGGCAGCTGGGACCATAGTCACCAAGAAAACAATTGGTAACACACTTCGCCGTGAAGGACTGAAATCCTGCAGCGCCCGCAAGGTCCCCCTGCTCAAGAAAGCACATATACATGCCCGTCTGAAGTTTGCCAATGAACATCTGAATGATTCAGAGGACAACTGAGTGAAAGTGTTGCGGTCAGATGAGACCAAAATGGAGCTCAACTCAACTCGCCGTGTTTGGAGGAGGAATGCTGCCTATGACCCCAAGAACACCATCCCCACCGTCAAACATGGAGGTGGAAACATTATGCTTTCGGGGTGTTTTTCTGCTAAGGGGACAGGATAACTTCACCGCATCAAAGGGACGATGGACGGGGCCATGTACCGTCAAATCTTGGGTGAGAACCTCCTTCCCTCAGCCAGGGCATTGAAAATGGGTCGTGGATGGGTTTTCCAGCATGACAATGACCCAAAACACACGGCCAAGGCAACAAAGGAGTGGCTCAAGAAGAAGCACATTAAGGTCCTGGAGTGGCCTAGCCAGTCTCCAGACCTTAATCCCATAGAAAATCTGTGGAGGGAGCTGAAGGTTCGAGTTGACAAACGTCAGCCTCGAAACCTTAATGACTTGGAGAAGATCTGCAAAGAGGAGTGGGACAAAATCCCTCCTGAGATGTGTGCAAACCTGGTGGCCAACTAGAAGAAACGTCTGACCTCTGTGATTGCCAATAAGGGTTTTGCCACCAAGTACTAAGTCATGTTTTGCAGAGGGGTCAAATACTTATTTTCCTCATTAAAATGCAAATCTATTTATAACATTTTTGACATGCGTTTTTCTGGATTTTTTGTTGTTATTCTGTCTCTCACTGTTCAAATAAACCTACCATTAAAATTATAGACTGATCATTTCTTTTGTCAGTGGGCAAACGTACAAAATCAGCAGGGGATCAAATACTTTTTTCCCTCACTGTACTTAGTTCCATTTTAATTTTGCAAGCATAGGCAACGTACAATTTATGAATTTGTTGGGTATTTTTTCATTATGACTTATATCGGGTTACGTTTAAGCATTGTTGTTGCATAACTCTTCACGAACATTGCAAAGCATGTTGGGTATGTGTCGTGCCTTTAGATGCCACGAGTATTCAAACCTTGTAATGGGTTTGTTGTAAATATGGACTGTGGGAGGTAAGATGACAAGGGGTTAAACAGTTCTCGCCGACTCACAATGTACCGTATTCATCCACATCAAGCAACATTTCTTGTACACAAAACCCATTTCAAATGTCTTTGGGATATGGCTACTGTGCATATACCCACATCCGGACCTGCCCCGTGCACGACATTGAAGGGGAAATTACACCTCGACACTTATTTGTTTATGGTTTTAACACTGGGCAGCCTCCTAATTTCTGTCTCCATTCAAAACCTGGCCACAGTCCAGGTCTCCAATGCAACGACGTTGGGAATAGGACATGCGCTTTGTGGTCCTAAAAAAAAACCCTAATCTTTGGGATTCACTCTACAGCCCCTGCAATGAAGCTGTAAAGTAAATCACAATTGTACCCCCCCCCCCCCACTACATAGATGAGTTCAAGTGGAAGTCACTGTGCATTAGTGAGTAGCACCATCGTATGGATGTGCACGCAGAGTGAGAACACAGGTGGATTTGTTCTATGCCCTCTGGGTGGTCCACGTGGTGGTAGTGCAAGCGCCTTTGGAGACCAGGGTTAAAGCCCCCGATCTCACCCCCTCCTGCTAATGCGCTACAGGAACATCAATAAGGAGCTCGCCGTCCTTCGAGGGGTGTTAATCCTACGAGCCGAGGCGAAAAGTTCCCCGTCGGGCCCCTTGCGATGGATGCGTCATTGTGGCGTTCCCCCAGAAAGGCCCGGCGTGCCTGGTAGTTCACCGGGGTGAGTCGCTTCCCCTCTCGCCTCCCTCGAACTCGCAGGCAAGTGCGCTGTGAGCGGGCGCTTCGCGCCTCCGGGTCTCGGTTTCGTTAACTCGAAGCCGGTTCGAGGCTACTGAAAAACGCGAACGAATGCATGCCGTGTCGGGAGACGTATCCGTGCAACGCGTTTACCGTGCATCGTTTCTTTTCCAACAACGGAGCGGAAAAAAAAATTACGGCAGAAATAAAATCCCAGACAGCAGCAGCGAAAAAATAAATCTCGAAAGAGAGCCTTCGTAAATAAGCAAAGACGAAGCTGCCGTTGTGGCGAGCGTTCAAGGCCACCTCCATTCATCAAACCCCGTGCCGTGCGAGCCAATCGCGACGAGGCCCCGCTGCAGTAACCCTCCAGACGTCTTAACAGCGCCAACTGACTTTGGTCGCAGGTGAAAGCATTGGAATAATTAGGCATAATCATATCCTTCTCTCTCCCCACCCCTAAAGCAACTGCATCTCCCCCCCCCCACACACACACCCTATACCCCCCGTCGCCGCCGCCGCCCCCCAAACAAAACTTAAACAACCCTTAGCCGAGTCGGGCTCCCCGTTGCGCGCCCCCTTCCACGCGCGCCGATTTGCGAGCGGCCAGAGGAAGGTATTTGTTGTTCAACCGCACTTTCACGAACTTTGGCCCGCGAGAATACAGTTTGAAGCAAGCGCTGTACGAGAGTGGTGGTGGTGGAGGTGCTACTGCCGCCGCTCCTGCGGCTGCGAGGAGAGTCACGGAAACAATAGGAGGGGAGTAGGGGGGGGGGAGACCGCAGAGAGCCGCGGAGAGCTGCAGCGAAAGGGAAACCGCCTCTCTTGGCCGTGGCAAGAGCGTCGCGCGAAAACTCGTGGTGCGTAAATTCGCTCGTCTGGACGCGTCCACGCGCACGCGCGCGCGCGCGCTCTCAGCTTTACTTCTCAAAGTTGAAGACTCTCTCGGCGTTACAGTACTTGAAGGTCTCGCTCTCTGCCGCTCACAAAGTGGGGCCCCTCGGCTTCGTAAATAAATAATCAAGTTAACTGTTAACTGAGCGAGCTAGCCGACTAATAAACGCGACATTGCAAAAGGGGGCGAGTGTGGCACTGTAAAAGAATGAATCGCAACGGAGTTCCTCTCGGTGCGCTTTTACGCAATCGCCGCGCAGAGCGAACAAACCCTCAAAAGTTTCGCGAAAGTTCCCGAAAGCGAATAATAATCGACTAAGTAAGCAACTCACTCTTGCGAGAGTAATACACCCGTGGGGTGGGGTGGGGGGGGGGTAACTACACGGCATGCACTCCTTCGGGTTGCTTGATCTCTGTGCGTCTCCGCCGACACTTCACGATGTGCCTTGTTGTTGTTGTTGTGACTGTCGCCGTTTCTCTTCGCCGGCTTGGCTGCGAGAGTTGCTGCACGAGCGGGCGGGCGGGCGGGCGGGCGGGTGGGCGCCGTTCGGGCATAGGAGGAGCCGCCTCATCCGAGGAGCCGCCTCATCCGGAGCGATGAGTCGAGGCGGCTCGCAATTGGCCGCTCACTAATTGAGCACAGCTCGAGCCGAGCCCCGCGATCAGTTACTCGTCGACAAGCGCAGCAGCGAGATCCTTAGCCCTCGGGACTCACGCGGCAAGAGTCGGGCGACGCGTGGGCTGCTGCGCTCGCCGCAAGTACGTGAGCTGTCATCGTTCAACTCGTGACTCCCTCTTCTCACCTGTGCGCTGTGTTAGCTCCGGCAGCTTTGTACGAATAATGGGGAGACATACGGTAGCGTTGTCGCGCGCGCCACGGGTAAATGCTCAAGAGAGCCGGTGTTTGGTTAACTTTTTTTAATGTGCTTCTTGTTGTTGTTGGTGGTGGTGATGATGATGATGTGCAGATGGTGGTCGGGACGGATCCGTGAGTGAGGTCCCAGTTGTCGTCGCCACCTCCTCGTCTCCGGCCCCCTTCCCCACTTTGGTGGGGGGACGTTCGACGCCTCTCGCAGGGAAACTTAACCCCTCGGAGCAAGAAACGCGTTAAAATGTTCATTTATTTTTTTTAACAAAAAAGTTTGGAACCAAAAGAAAACGCTGACACTCGCTGGGGATAAAGTTTCGGAAGCGTTGCGCAGGACGGAGGAATTTAAACAAAACTTCGCGGCAGAGTTCGGCGGACAAGGCAACTCCAAACCATACTCATCATCACCCCGGTAAGCCACGTTCGGTAAAGTTCATTTCTTATATATTTTTGTTTAAACGTGTTCCAATTTCTACTTGTTTAAAGTCGCGGTCGACAAAAGACAAAAAAAACAAAGAACGTCGTTGCATCGTAATTGTGGAAATCGCATCGCTGCCTCCAGCCGATGACAAGTTAACTCGCCACGAGTCGATTCGTCGCTTAGCCGCGAGGCTTGGGAACTACTCGGCTCAACTACCGTGCAGACTCCAGGCACGCGACTTAGGCGCTACACGTGCGCGCGCGCTGTTCCACAAGTGCGCGCGATGTGAAGAATGCAAGCGCCGTAGTTGATGCGTTGCGTTGAATGCGCCGCGGATGTCGATCGTTTTGTTTTTTGTGTTAAATTGCGCGTAAAAAGCGTCGGGAAAACAAGTTTCTTCATAAGCCGCGTCGAGTCGCCGGTGCCATTTGCTCTTCGACGGAGGCAACGTCGGTGGTTGTGCAACGGGTTTTGGCATTGCCAGCATCACCTGTGGTGACTCGACGACAAATCGCGCTTGATGTTCGCTCACATTTTCACTTTTTTTTACACCCGATGACCGTTGCACAGCCCGCGTTTAAATAAACCAAAGCGCCCTTTATGGCCTGCATCTCCAGCTCTCCAGCTCACCACTCCGGGTTCCAGCAGAAACGCGACATTCATTTAAAAACAAAAAACTTCGTCTCTGTTCTTCGCATCGAACAAATTGGTTTAGCTTCCAATCGCTCGTGCAAGGAAGGCCTCGTCTTCACCGACCGTTGTACGAATAACTTCGCGTAAAATAATAATAATGAAACCATCAAAGGTTTTCGTCATTCCATTGCTAGATGATGGCAATGGATTGAGAGTTTGCTTGGACATACTTCACCACGCTGGTCAGTGCTGTTACAGCAGAGTACTTTCTGGCGATGCCAATATCCTAAATCACTCATTGGTATTTCTTGATTTGTATTCTTTCAGCGTGAGTCCGATATGCGGTTACGTAATATCAACTCCATTGTACTGCTTTAAAGACTGCACACCAAAACCAACCAAACACCTCATCTATCCGTAAATCATTGCAACTGGCGTGACTAATACAGCGCGTCCAGGAAAGCTTTCATCCGGTGTTTGAAAACTTTATAATTCGACAGCGGTTTGAATTCCGCGGTGTTGAGGGTTGGCAAACTAGTCCTTTATACGCTTACGTGTGTTTTGTTTGGAGGTGTTTGTTGTTGTTACCGCAAAGCTTTGAATGATCTCGTGACAGCACACATCAGAAGCTTTCGAAATTCTCTCATCGAGAGGTGTTGGCCCCAATTACCCGGCAAACTCTGTGATAGCTCAGAGCGACTGAGCTTCACCCACTGCGACCGGAGGGAAGCTTCGGGGCTGTTCAGACGCAGTGTGTCCAAAACTTCATCGCGGCGACCACCACCACCATCACCAACCACGCCACGTCTCTCCGCGTTCGCCAATGCATTCCTCGCAGTCGAATTGCAACTTAAACCGTTCCACGGTGCACGCGCCCGACGATTTGTCAGACGCGTTCCCTCCTCCCTCCTCGTGATGCGCTTCGCAATTTTGACGCCACTGGCGTTAGCATTGAAGCCGATTCGAGTCAGAGTTTGAGACGTCGGTGTGCGTGTTCCACGCGTGCGCGTGTACGTGTGGAACACGTGACGCAGAGAGAGAGAGCGTTAATTTGCCGAGCGCGTCAGGTGGCACGTGTTTAACAATCATCGGGCGCGTGCAGCGTGGAACGAATTAACTTGCATTTTTTAATTGAAGTCGCGGCGGTCCGCGAGGACTGGAGTCTGTGAAACCCTGGACTTTAGAGAGATGAGACCCGTGCATTACAATCTTCAGACTACATATCGTGTGTGACTGCAGATGATATATATAGTTGTATCGACCGAGCTTATACTTTCCGTCTAATCCTGGTTCTTTCATAAATTATGCTACCTTTATGGACACTGTATATGTCCATTGCGTTCTCCTTTGGCATGCATTTTCATAGACTAACCCTACCTGCCCAAGGCGTATTGAACTACGACTGCGTTTGCTAATTCCATTTTATGTTCTGCGCTGTTTGCAACTCCCTACGAATACTCAATGCGTAGGTGCCTTGTGTTGACCTCCACATATTCACAGTAAGTTCGTTCGTCTCTTAGCCTTCTCTTCGTCCATCCGAGGGGTTGTCCGCCAGCCAGATCGACTCTCATTTGCCACAGGGACTCTTGTCTGTCTTCGTCAGTTGAAGCGAATATGATTTGTCCCGTATACTGATGAGACATTGTACTCGCAACTGCGCCATCAATCCAAGTTCTATTCACGGCGCACACACACACAAGGTTTAATTATGTGTACGAACACATTATCAGAAATAAAAGTGTGTAATTTGTCAAACACTTTGCCATTTGCTACAAGTAAATATACCGAGCAAAAAGTGCTCGCTGTTTTATGTTTATACATTACTGATGGATGAATGCCTCCCCACGCCAATGTTGGTCACGGGGGTCGTTTAGTCATCCTTAACCATGATGGCTTGGTGAATGGAGGTGAATGGAGGGGGGGTGTCAAATATAATTCGCCACTGATGCTAGCCGTGGCCGGGAATCGAACTTCGGGTAGCCGGGCTTCATAGTGCATTGGTGCTAACCGCCGCGTCGCCGCTCCGAAATAGTCTCGTGACACCGCGTGACCCTGCATCTTCATCTCGTATTTGTCTCAACTCTCGATCCGCTGCAACTACAACCGCGCGCTGCAAGCAGCTGGAGTGTGGTTGACCGTGGATTTATTCCAAGTTCTTTTTTTCCTTCTTAAATCGCGAGAACTTGTAGAGAAGTCGCATTTTTTTTTTTGCGTAGCTAACGCCCCCCCCCCGCCCCCCGATAAGCATTTATGTCCGCGCAAACATTTAAGAACACGTCGATGAACAGGAACACGTTTGCGTCTTCCTTAACTCGAGCGCTGACATCGCGGGCATGCCCACACACCCCTTGCTGTGTTCTGCAAAGATTGCGAGATGGGGCAACGGGTAACTTTAACCCCACTGCGGGTATAGGGTGCGACAACCCGTTAATAATCTTTGCAATGCACCTTTACGCAAGAACGTGCCCACCTGCGAACACAATTTATAATTGTAACTCATCCGCGAATGTAATACACACATTACATGATACTGTACCGCACCATCGCGTGCCATGAACTAAACGTTGCGCCATCGTATTGTGAGATATGCACCGCACGTGTCTGTACCTCTGAGACTTAAGACATGTATAAAAACGCGTATAATTGGGCGACGTTTTGGGCAATGGCCTTTCGTCACATCACATAAACGGAGGTGTGAGAGAGACATGAGTTTATAATTACGTTTGTCTGCTGTGAGGAAGGTCCGTTATATGTTTTTTTTTATCTTTCAAGGAAGTGTTATTTGACGGGTGCTTAGGTGGAAAAAATGTGTATTTAACTGTTCTTGTGCATCGCTGTCAACGCAGTGTCAGCGGCAGCATCACCCGACAATTTGTTTAGATACAATGCGCGTGCACGTCGTCCACGAGACACGCACTTTAAAATCTCGATTGAAAACTAATTTCTTTTGATCTGCTTTTTTGTGTTTGGTTTGTTGGCACCTCCGATTAGCACGGTTGGCTACGTACGGTGCGAAAGAAGTTCAACATACACAGAGACGGTACTTGCATCTTGGGGTGTATTATCTTCAAAATAAATGGCAACTGGAAGAATGTGGCGAGTTCTGTTGAGTGATGCGGTATTATCCCACTAACATATCTCTGAACGCATCCTAGTGCATCTCGAATGATGATCACGCACGTGCATAGACAAAGAAGACCCCCCCCCCCCCCACCTTAATATAGCCTCAGCAGACTTTTGGGGCAAGCGCTATCAGCGAGCAACTATTTACGCCCAGACTCACCGTCTGGAATCTCGGAAGTGATTGTTGACAGCTTAGAATTCGGCAGAGGCGATAAGCGAGTACTTGACCGTGCAGATTTGAGTAATAGAGAGAGAGCGTCACACTTTTCTGCTTCTCCCACGTTGCCATGTCCCTTCATTACCATCGCCCAGGCGGACTCTTTGCAATGGGGTGCAAACATGCATAATTGACATTAATTGGTCACGCTTTAATAATGGATGATAATGAATGTGCTTTAATTCAATGCGGCTAGCATAATAATGGTAATTCCGCATTTCACGTTGACGTTGTGACTACTGTCAATGGCCAGACATTTTGAAAGTGTACGGTAGTTCATGAAGGTTTGCATGTGTGTGTGTCTGCACTTACCACTGCATAAGCACATGCAAGATGGTGTTTGTTGTAGGCTTGCATGGCCTTCCTTATGTGTACAAACGCGCTTATACAATGTGCGGGAACGTGTATTACGTGTCCACATTAAACAAACAAAGATACCCCGTGTAGCCTTAACAGACTTGGGGCAAGTGCTGTTAGCGAGTAGCACCTGTGAAGGTCGGCACGGCACACGACGGGGGGGGGGGGGGGGGGGCTAACACAACGCCCGGCTGCCTTTGTCTCCCCAGTGGCGATGTTTACGCACCACATCAGATACTCATTTAAGGCTGAGTCAACCTAGGAGAGGCCCATGACCGGTTCAGATAATCGTCACCCGTGTTGGTAGTGAGCGGGAATCGATCTCGGGTCGGCTGGTTTCGTAGCGTAGCGCTAACCGTTGCACCACCGCTCCCCACACATATACACACACACCTGTGCACACAAATCACTCTATGAAAGGGCACTTCATAGAGTTCCTGTATAGCGTGCAATTAATGATGCGCGTTCTATGAGCCAGGGAGAGTATGTTGAACACTGACTGTGTTGTTCAGTCATATTAGTGGCCTATATGCGTGTCTCATGTAGGATATGATGCGTACTGCATACTGTATACCCGTGCAGTTCCATATGGGAGTGTATCTGTGTATGTAATGCATTAATTGGCTGGACATGCAAAGGACATAACGACGTCGGCCTATGC